CACACACACACACACACACACACACACACACACACACACATATACAAACTGACACAAACATAGACATATATTTAGTCATGTACACACTCACATGACAGCAAAATTCCGTTTGAGGATAGCATTCAGCCAAACTGTTCTATTGTAAAGAATTGTGGGTATTGTTTGGGGCGAAAACATAGTAATTCTTTACAATATAACAGCTTGGCTGAACACAGAGCTATCTTTAAACAGGACTCTTGTACACACAGACAAACAGACTGACTGAAACATACATGTACATAGACACTAAGACTAACAGACACACTAACAGACAGCCGCAATAGCAATACATACAACCAATACATTTGATAATAAAATAACTTGTGCAACCATACCTCTTCCTCCTCTTCTTCTTCACCTTCACCATCCGGCGACGGTTCCGGCGTTATTTCTTTAGGCACAGGGGGAGGTGTGGGAGAAACTTTTTTCTCAATTACTGGCTCAGGCACTTCTGAAATAAAACAATAAAATGATATGAAGTCACATTCTACAGCTATTAAATAAAACCTCTAAAGTTTGAATCAAATCTGATATTGCTGATTTCACTTTTATCATTTCATGCCCAGCTTTCTGGTCCCCAACAACTAAAACAATAAATATTCTATCAATTTGATAGTGGAGCGCAAATAGTCAGCAATTAATGATCGCTGCATAATGAAACTGAACTGAGTTACTGTAAAATACTTTATTTTAGGTGTTTTTATTTTGGGTGTTTTGTATGGAATTTATTTTCACTGATTTTTGATTTGTAAAATATAGAAAAATAGTATTTTAGCTGGATTTTATTTTGGCAACACTTTTAATGAGACATCAGTCCCACTTAAGTTATGCATCATTATGTCTGTTTACATTTTTGTCAACCAGTCAGCGTTTTGTTGTGAGAATGCTGTTTTATCAACTAAAACACATTGCCTCAGCAAAAAAAAACATTTATTTTTTATTTTTAAATGTTAGCTACTGGTTCGTGCCAACCAGATATTGTAGACTTAAACCACCCACATCCACCTACACCTAGCCCTCTTTATATTGATAGAAGGCAGTACAATAAAAGCCATAATCTATTAAAATCTGCCAAAAACAACATATGTGTAACTCATACCTTCCACAGGAACAGGAGTCATTTCTTTTACTGGTTCAGGCTCCTCATCCTTCACTTCTTCTGATGGCGTTGGCGCTTCCTCATCTTTCCCCTTATCCTTCTTTTCTTTCTTTCCCTTTTTCTTCTTTCCTGTTTCTTTCTTCGGAGATACGCTCTTCTTTTTGGGTTTCTCCTTCTTAGGAACACCTGTATAATGGGTAAGTTAGGATTGGTGGTTATTGTAGTTACTATCTGGAGTGCGTTCGCGTAGTCGCCTCGGGGTGACCCGAGGTGACTCGCGTCTGCCCAGTTTTCGTTCGACTGCTAGGTGACGTCACAACTGGGGCGACTCGGGGCAGTTTTTACCGCCCCTGCTTACAGAGCTGGGGAAGTTTGTGAAAAAGATAGCGAACGACGAAATCGCTAGGTAAAAAGGTGTTTAGGTGATTTTCTCAAACATAAAATGCAACTGGGCGTGATTTTAAATAAAAATAATAAATAAATTTTATACATTTTACATGAGTTTCACCCGCATAGCAACAGACCAATACGATCACGTGATACTACTTCCCTGGATTACGTTCGAGTAAACTTCTTCCTCGGGGAACCCTTTCGTTGCCACGGGTCACTACTGCCACGTCACTCGGGCCACCCCGGGAGAGCGACGCGAACGCACTCCAGCTCTCTCTCTCCTCCCTCATAGAAATTTTTCCTATCACATGGTTTACTTTTGAAGAGATTTTGATCACTTCACACTTTATTACACAATTGAACCATCAGAGGATTTAGTATGTTAAATACAAATAAAATGCAAAAAAATTGGTTCATTGTTTGAAAAAAGTTCACTAAAAATAACTTTTTTTTTTTAAATTTGGCAAAATATAAAATTCATAATTTTGAATGAAAACCAATTATTTATATCAGTGAGTTTGCACTCACTAAATAACATGTTTATTGCAGTATTAAATGAAGTTTTAAAATGAAATTCATTCAACCTGCACATCAGAATTACATTTTCTGTGGTTTAAATTTATTTTAGGATTTGGACAATACCCTAGTTTATTGTTTTTAAAATTGTGGCTATTTTAGAAAATTTTAAATTCAAAATGACATTTAAGTAATTCACACTTTTTTTAGGTTTTCCATAAAATAAAAAAAAAATGAAAACAAATTATTTAGTTTTCATGAAAAATCATAAA